AGTTGTCACTGCTGTTTTGGGAATGTCTGATTCAGTCACTGAAATGTGATGGTATGCGCACAAGGCCGATTTTATAAAAAATTGTTTTGAGTGGAGGGTGAGTGCTAAATCATCTATGTGTGGAATGGGGTACCTGTCGGGTTTTTTGGAGCTGTTGAATGCTCTGTAGTCACCACAAGGACACCAATCTCCAGAGGTTTTCTTGGGTACCACATGCAGTGGGGACGACCAAGGGTAGTCGGATGGACAAATGATATCAAGCTAAAGCTTGTGTTTGAACTCTGCGTGAAGCATAGCCAACTTCTCAAGTGTGAGTCGGCGAGTTCCGGCGGTGACGGGTTGACCTCTGGTGATGGTATTGTGGGTCACCTCGTGAATAACATTCGCAGGTTTGTGGAAATTCACGAAGAATATCGGAGAAGACGGTTGAGTCTGGTTGGGGTAGACGGAGTTGCATGAGAATTGACAGAAAACTAGGTGTGTGTATCGAGTAGTTTTTGCTGGTTCACATCAACAACGAGACCGAAAGCAGACAAAAGATGAACACCAATGATGGCAGCATGGACATCAGCAACAGTGAAAATCCACCTTAAACCAAGATCGACGGTGATGAAGCGACCGCTATAGGTGTGAATGCGACTACCGTTGGCTGGTTGTAGGATGACAGCGGTTGGTTGACAGTAATAATAGTGTGCTGTCCGGGGAATTGCGCTCAGTTCAGCACCGATGTCGATCAAAAGTCGGATACCAGTGCTTTGAACTTGGATGAATAATAGACGAATGGGGAGGATGCGGAAACAGGCACCGTCATTACTGTCCGGCTTCGTGGTTTCCCTATGAGGTAAACGAACAGGGTGGGGTGCACTTCTTTGCTCTGGGTCCAAACTGTTGGTGATATCAGCAATGTTGAGGGTTGGAGCTGGCAGTGTTAGTTTCTACGGGTCTGCGAGGTCGAGCGACTTCGACTTCGGTTGCGGCTGGATTACTGTGAGCGAAGCTGGGTTTTCTTCGAACATTTTATCTTCGGCCACTACCATTTCGTGCGAAGAACTGTTGCAGAGGACAGACAAAACTTTGCGGAATGGAGGCGCTTCAACCAAAGCTAGCGGAGGATTGCGTCATCCAGAACCCTGGTACCAAGGCGCTGCCACATGTGACGCAATAACTAGGACGGGATGCGGTCGCCAATTTCGAGATCACCAAACAACTCGTCCAGTCGGCCTTCATCCACCACAACTTTGCGGGGAATTCACGCTTCTTTTAGTTGAGTGTATGGGCCTTTTTCTTGTATAGTGATAGTGAACTTGAACACCTACTCCACAATGTCTGTGGGTAGGGAAGTGACTGTGTGGGAATACATAATCGTTTGGGAGGGGATGCGATGTGCATGGAAAAGGTTTTCGGCTTGGGAGAACTATAATCGGGGGTTGTTTATACCAAATGCCGATAAATTTATATGGGAAGATATGTGAAGGTCCTCTAGGACGTGTTTTGATTGCTCCATATATAACGTTAACAGTATACAAAATTAAAGTAACATTCCTGATGATGCTGAGTACCGCAGAAAAAACATGAAACTAGAAATCTAAGCAAGGGCTCGCCCAATATGCAGTAGGAAAGATACTACATATACGAATATTAATGAAATTAAAAGATACATGGAACGGATTCACAGAAAGGTTGTTCTGTTGCTTGATGGGTTCTGTTCCTCGGAAATGTGGCTCCAGTTGAAAAATATGGCTGCGACAATTACCGGACCGCTTGACGTTAACTGATAATGTAGAGGAAGAGGAAGAAAAGTCTTCAGTTTTCAGTCTTCATAATTGAAGACAGAGGGCAGGGTGCCGTGTAAGCCCCATCACCACTGGGTTGAAGGTCCGATCACAAGCGTTCGTTCCTCCATAGCTCCTTCAGGTGCTCATCCAGACGCCGTTTGAGAGCAGCGCCAGTCTTCTCTTCCACCACAATCGCTGGAAGGGAATTCCAGAGTTTTGTTGACCTACGTGAGAGTCGGTAGACTAACGGAAGACCAACTGACTGAAGTTTCCGCAATGTGACAGAGTGCTCTAACGTGCGGTGCTCTATCCGTAAAGGGAAGTACTGTTGCAGCTCCGGGCCCATATCACCTCTCAGGATCTTCTTCAGGTAGATGAGATCTTCTCTGAGGCGTCGTAACGCAATTGGGAACAGACCAGTAGTCCGTAGACGACCTTCATAGATAGTCCCGCGTAGTCCAACAACGAATCTAGTGGCAGCACGTTATACACGCTCCAACTTAGCCAGTTCACCGGCCGTGCAGGGGTATGTCGCCGCACCACAATACTCAAGTCTTGGTCTGACATGAGAAGCGTACAGCAGCCTGAAAGCTTCCATCGTGAGCTGGTTGAAAGACCGCCGAATAGGCCCCAGAATGCTCCATGCGCTAGCACATACCCGATCGGTGTTTTCTCGGGTCTTTACTGATGACGTAACCATAACACCCAGGTCTCGTTCGCACGATGTTCCGCGCAATGTGGTTCCCTGGAAGTTGTAGACTACCTCTGAGTCGGCACGCCACAAATGCAGGTGAGCACACTTTGCTGTGTTGACTGGAAGAGCCCAGGTGTCCGCCCACTGAGCCAGGTTGTTCAAATCCGCTTGAAGAGAACTTCGATCATTCGGATCATTGATTGTACGCCAGATTTTGATGTCATCCGCATACACGAGGGACAGGATGCACAGTTGACCAGGCAGGTCGTTCACATAAACCACAAAAAGCCATGGACCAAGCTTTGGGGGACCCCACTGGGAGCGGAATACCACGCAGAGAGCGATTTGC